CCGGTGAAATTCGGGGGACGGGGTATCAACCAGCTCCATCATCGGTCAGCGTGACACAGCGCAGCCACCCGACAGCCGAGTTAAGCCCAAACGCTACGTTTATTGAGGACGTGTAATACGGTGATACCTCGGGGGTTGAGTAACTGGTGAAATTATCTAAATAGCGTTAAATATATTTAAAAAAAACAAAACAAAACAAAACAAACAAAAAAAAAATCCCTAACCAGACTCTGGACTAAACGAGCTGAAGGTTAAACTAAAAAGTTAGAAGGGAGACTGTTTACATTAACACTTTCTTTAAAAAATATAATTGCTTTTTCTTCGTTTGTTTGTTGTTGGTTTTTTTTTAAGTCAATTAACTTCAGTGGTGAGACGCGCTCTCTTTTTCAGCCGTTACTGTGCAGCCTGCAGGGTTTTACTCCCCTGATCACACCAGCCCTGCTGTAACTGAACGGAAGGGAACAACTCGCACCCGTGTGCTGTCTCCCTGTCACGTGGAAAAGAGTTGTGTCACCACTGTGCCACAGGGCAGCCGAAAACCAGGAGTCTCTTGGCCAGTGCCAGGACGCGGGCAGAAAAAAAACCTTCCCATGTTCTAATAAGAAAAGTCCGTAGGAAGCTGTGAACAGGATCAGTCCAGAGGAGTAACACGCTCTCGTGTCCGTCCAAATATCAGTCAATGTACTGCGATAACCAGCGGAAGCCTTCGCCGTAGCCTTGCCTCTTCAGCACGCTGCACATGAACACCTCCATGGGGCGCGCGTTCAGGTCCTTCAGCGGCACGTTGCCCTGCAAAAACCAAAGAGAAGTCAGAACTGCAGCGGCAACCCAGCCACCACCATCTAGGGAAGCCCTTCTCCCAGCTGCACACCAGCCCCTTCACCAGAGGGACCTGTCTGTGGGACGTTTGGAGCTGGCAGTGTGGCACAACAGGCACTGGCGCAACCATTTTGAGGTGCAAGGTCCAATGTACGAGCAAGGCCAGAAGCAGTTGTCATCACATGCCCCGAGCAGTCCTGCAGTGTTTTGCTACCATCACCCATCGCCCATCACTCTTCTCCAGCTGTACTGGTTTTAAACACCGCAACGCAACGCGCAAGCCCGAGACTTTGGATGCCTCCCTACCTTTCCCGTGGTCTGTCCGTAGAGCCCAAAGATCTCCCGCAGTTTCTCCTCGCTGATGGCCTCTGGTCTGTCGATTTTGTTACCCAAAATAAGGATTGGCACGTTGGATATTGTTTCATCTGTCATTAGCGCCTGCGGGCAAGACGGAAGGGGTGAAGCAGAGGCAGAAAACAACTTAAGTTGATAGAAAGCTTTTTGTTTTGACCAACAAGGGCTATTTTTTGAGTGTGGCAGAAGAGAAGTCTCTCTGGAAAGGTTTCTTAGAAGCAGCTCCTATCTCAACACATGGATCATTTCAAAACTTGTTCGAAGGCCCCTCAACAGCCTACGGTCAACCCACGCTAAGGGTGTCTCCAGCGCTGGGACAGTCTGCTTATAAATCCAAACTGATCCAGGCCCTGCGTAAAGTATCGGGCAAATTCCTAGAAGCACACGCTTTGGACACGCTGGTGCTGGTGTGAAGGGTGCAAATCCAAAGCAGAAAACGCTTAAAATGCGCTGTGCACAAGTTCCAGCCCAAGAAAAGGAGAGTATTATTTCTGATTAAACTATTCAGAGGTCTTAGGGAAGGGAAAAAAAAGGTGCATTTACATTAAGCTCAACTTTGGATTCCATAAGACGCGAGTGATCGGCGCAGTCCACCAGGAAGACGATGCCGTTGATGGCCGGCAGGTAGTTCTTCCAGACCCGCCGAGCTGCAACACACAAGCAACAACCACCGCCCTGTGAAAACGCTACCTGAAGTGATGGGAAAAACTACACCCAAAAAAAAGGAGCCACCCTCTTCATTATGATGTCCTCAAGGCAGCAGAAGACCGCCCGGTGAAGGGACTGGCTGTAAGTCAAGCCAGTCGCGTGCTCTCTGCTTTTATAAGCAAGCCATGGCAATTAAGGCTGCCTTTTCAGGCAGGACACCTTTCTTCCAGTATTTTTGTGTATTAAAAGACAAAGAAAGCGCAGAAAAATTTATATTAGAACTTCTAGAAAGTCTGAAAATAAAAATTCAGCCATTATTCAAAAGAATAAGCCTACGACATTCACGTCTTCCACAACTTAGGAATATTTCAGGCAGCAGAGCATGAACTGGTGGGTTTTTTTCCAAACTGCCAGAATTCAAGTGTCAAACCATCAAAACGAGAGGTATCCTGAGCCAGGAGGTTATTCCCACATACTGCTCCATAAAGAATTTAAAGCAACAAATAATCAGGTATTGCTAATTGCTATCACTTTCCAGTATCAATTTTTTGGTAGGTTTTTCTGAAGGCGGCTGGAGAATATAGTGGAAATCAGGAGGGTACCCTTGCTTGGTGTCTCCCACTCAGCAACTTCACTTTTACCTTGTTCGTGTCCACCCAGATCGAAAGTTGTGAAGGTCATTCCAGCGATCGTCAGCTCCTCCGATGCTGGAAAGTAAAAATACAAGCTGTGTTTTGGGCAAATAAGCAACTACAACCTCAGAGGCAGTCTAAAGACTCTTAAATGTCTGCTGCTCCACAGCAGAGCTATCACCAAGGCATTTTTTAACACAGTGTTCCCAGAATCTCCCTTCTGAGGAGCGGCTGAGGGAGCTGGGGCTCTTTAGTTTGCAGAAGAGGAGACTGAGGGGAGCCCTCATTCATGTTTATAAATATTTAAAGGGTGAGTGTCACGAGGATGGAGCCAGGCTCTTCTCGGTGACAAACAATGATAGGACAAGGGGTAATGGACACAAACTGGAACACAGGAGGTTCCACTTCAATTGGAGAAGAAACTTCTTCTCAGTGAGGGTGACAGAGCCCTGGCCCAGGCTGCCCAGAGAGGTTGTGGAGTCTCCTTCTCTGCAGACATTCAAAACCCGCCTGGACGCCTTCCTGTGTAACCTCATCTGGGTGTTCCTGCTCCGGCAGGGGGATTGGACTGGATGAGCTTTTGAGGTTCCTTCCAATCCCTAACGTTCTGGGATTCTGTGATTAAACAGGAGAAGCCACTCCATGAGGCACGTGGGGCTCGGTGGCTGGCAGACTTACTGGGGTGTAGTGTCGGGACATGCTGGCCCAGCCTGTCGTCTTTCAGCATGTGCAGCAGGGTGGTTTTGCCGGCGTTATCCAAGCCCAGGAACACGAGTTTTCCAGACTTCTTGTACAAACCTGGAAGGAAAACAAACAAGCAAGAAAAACTCCAGCAGGGTTATCTTGGCATGCGCACGGAAACACCGCAATGCTGTTTGTACCAACAGCAGCTGACGTTTCCTGGGCTGCTGCTATTACTATTATTATTATTATTATTATTACTGATTCTTTCCTCAGATACATCCCAGCAGCAGAGCGTGTTGAGAAGTATTCCTTAAACACAATGGGTTATGGACCCACTCTGTTTTTCTGTGAAACCCACAGAACACAGCAGCGACTCACGAATAAAAAATGCAAAGCATGAGGCAAAGCATCGCTTTCTTTAGATAAACTGATTCTTTTTCCACTTCCAGGTACGGTTCTCCTGCAGGGAAGTTCCCTTAGCTTTCAGACAGGACTTTTTCTCACCCCTCATAAGGTGCACTGGACACAGAGCACCTCCTCCTCCTCTGTTGGAATGAAGCAGCCAGCCCAGCTGCACAGGTCACCCGAGATGGGGCAATGTTTCAGCAAGCACCTCCAAAAAAAGCCTTCAACCCAGCACGCGCTGGGGGCGATGGGGAACAGCCAGCAGCTCCCCAGGACACACCACAAAGGGTGGCTTGGTGTAGGAAGTGACTGTTTGAGGAGAAGCAAGGCAGCTGGCTGCAGCAGCGAGAAATATGGGTGAGCTCTGGCAGAGCTGCTGAGCTTGGATAGCAAGTGGAGGAGGAGGAGGAAGAGGAGGAGGAGGAGGAAGAGGAGGAGGAGGAGGAGGAGGGGGTTCCCTCCCTGGCTGAGCAGCATGTCTGCCTGGGGCAGGGCGCTGGGCTAAACGGGCCCGTGGCATCTGCCCAGTTGCTCTGGTGCTTCTAAACAGCAAGAAAAAAAACTGAGTGGGTGCCAAACACCTCCGAATTATTCTCAAAGTTTCTCCTCCTCATGTAAAAAAAAACCCTTTCTTGATCTGCAACTTTCTTGCCAGACTCTACTAGTCAGAGCTATCACACACTCCCAAAGCGACGTGCTTTAGTCGCTCACATTTTGGCAACCTGCACAAGCCAAACCACCTCACACACTGCGGGCCATGACCCCAGCCGACTGCTTTAAGAGCTCAGGCAACGCAGCGTTACCTAAAAACTGCAGCACGCTGCTGAAGCCGTTGTAGATCCATTCGAAAATGAACGACATCGCTGAAGATCAATCGCCTGAGGGGACAGAACCGCAGTTAAAGGCCTCAGGGCTGAGGAGAGCCGGCTGCGCGCCCCTCACCCCCCGGGACGCTGCCACCCCAGAGCAGGGGACGCTCCCCTCCCTCCCTCCTTCCCGGCCAGCAAGCACACGCAGCGGCGAGTAGCGGTGAGGGGACACGGGAAGCG